CATTCCAACTATATGACATTCTGGAAAAGGCAAAATTCTAGACAGTAAAAAAGCTATTTGCCAGGCCTGGTTGGGGGCGGGGGTGGTGGGGCTGATAAATAGGGAGAGCACAGAGGATTTTTAAGGCATCGCAAATACTCTGTACAGTACTATAATGGATACATGGCGTTATACATTTGTACAAACCCATAGAATATACAGCACCAAGAGTGAACCCTAATGTAAACTATGGATGGACTTTGGGTAATTATGATATGTTGATATAGGTTCATCAATTATATCACATGTACCATTCTGGTCCAGATGTTGATAATAGGACAGGTATGGGAGTAGGAGGTATATGGGAAATTTCTGTGCTTTCCTCTCCAATTTTTCTTAGAACTTAAAACTTCTCTAAAAAATATAAATATATTTTTTATTTTAAAGGTCAGGCCAGGTGTGGTGGCTTACACCTGTAATCCCAATACTTTGGGAGGCCAAGGCAGGCAAATCACCTGAGGTCAGGAGTTCGAGACCATTTTGGCCAACACAGTGAAATTCAGTCTCTACTAAAAATACAAAAATTAGCTGGGAGTGGTGGTGGGTGCCTGTAATCCCAGTTGCTTGGGAGGCTGAGGCAGGAGAATCACTTGAACCTGGGAGGCGGAGGCTGCAGTGAGCCAAGACTACACCATTGCACTCCAGCCCCGGTGACAGAGGGAGATTCTGTCTCTAAATAAATAAATAAATAGTCTTTAAACAAACAAGCAAACAACCCATGTGCACTCATGGAACACATATTAGGTATATAAATATCATCATTTTTAATATGACCAGTGATCTTTCTGATGCTTCTTAATTTTGTCATATTTGGGTTGAATTTCAGTCGTATTCTTTGCATGAACTAATGTATTTCTCCACTGTTTCTGTGTTTTGTTTCAATAATATTCAGAGTAGAAAAATGAGTCTTACCTACGTATGATGATGAGAATCAAAGAAGAATTTTTTAAAAAATTTCATCATTTAAGAATGTTAATTTTTTTGTCTAACATAAAGTTATGCTGTATTTTCAAAATTTAATGTCAACTTTTTACCAGCAGCCAGTTCCAATAAGTTCTCCTATTAAATTTTACCCAAACTTAAATTACATTTTAAAGAAAGAAATGGGTTCTGGATTCATGAACTCTTTATGTGTGAATCTTCTTTAGAAAATACATTTAAACATTCTATCAAATAGTACAATGCTTAGAGATAACTTTTTACAGACTGCAATGTAAAGATTATCACCCACTTCAATGATAATTGCTAAATTATGGGATATCTTCTTTTAGTTTTCTATTGCTGCCAAAATAAATTGCCACAACTTAAAGGTTTAAAATAACATTCATTTACTATCTCACATTTCTTTAGGTCATAAATGTAGGCAGATTCAGCTGGGTTCTCTGCTCAGCACAGTGGCTCACATCTGTAATCCCAGCACTTTGGGGAGGCTGAGGTGGACAGGTCACTTGAGGTCAGGAGGTGGAGACCAGCCTGACCAACATAATGAAACCCCTACTTTACAAAAAATACAAAAACTAGCCGGGCATGGTGGTGTGCCCTTGTAATCCCAGCTACTTGGGAGGCTGAGGCAGAAAATTACTTGAACCCGTGAGGCAGAGGTTGCACTGAGCTGAGGTCATGTCAGTGCACTCCATCCAGCCTGGGTGATAGAGCAAGACTCCATCTAAAATATATATGTGTATTTATATAAAATATAAACGTATATTTATATTTATTATATCTATATAATAAAAATGCAAGCTTTTCTAGTTTTATACTATTCAGAGATTCAGAGCTAATTATACTTGTAAATAACGGGGCCAATACAACAGTTCTATGTTTATATCACTAATATGTCCAAATTGCACTTGTGGTAAAGCAATTGCCAAAGTCTGTGCATTTACCAAGTTGCAATGATGTCAGCCAGCGCTAAGTACATTGCACTATGTTGTCGACCAGTGCTGAGTGCATGGCAAAGATTCATTGGAAATCTCTGATGCAGTCTGTGACTCTTGTCGATTAACTATATTTTTTTAGTCTTAGCAACACAAAATGCTGTTGGCTATAGACAACAGAAGAAACAATTAAAACCTTTCAGGTTCTTGTAATACTTTCAAAAATGTTTTGGTTTGAACTTTTTTATGCTTTACATAAATGGCATTTAAAAGGTGATATTTATTGCTTCATTAGACATACATATTCAGAAATAACACACTTTGGTTTTAGCACTTCACAAAATCAAACTACATATATATGTATGTATATATACACACACACACACACACACATATATGTATATAAGACTAGTAGAAATCCTTGGTTTTTTATTTCTTTGGAATAATATCATCATTATTTGCTTCATTACTTTTTTCATGTTCATGCAAGTCAAACATTTTTACCTTCATAATTTTATATGATTCACTGTTAAACACTTGTCAAATTTACATTTATTATTTCATTATTACTACATTGTTAATACGAATTAACTCCTTTGCACATTCCTACTTCTTGATTATTGTTTTTTCTTGACCAAGAAAGGTCCATTAAAGTTTATTTTGCCATCAGTAAATTAGAATAAAAATATGATGAATTTTTACTTTGCTAGTTTAGCTAATTATGTAAAAAGTGGATTAAAAAACAGATGATTATATATTACAATAACTGCAAAATAACATATTACAAATTAAATGCTTACATTTTCTCAGATTTTTCATGGTTTGTGTTGGAGTTGGAAAATGAATCTTAAAATAACACACCATGCAATGTGGCCCTATTTTCATGCAAAAATAATAATTATTATTATAAATTCTTTTGTTGATATCTCCTAGCTTTGGGCTCTACTGGGAATTTGATATCTTTAGAAAATCTAAATGGGAAGAATATCTTTAGAAAGGAACTAATATTTTTCTGAAAGTTGATGACACTTTCAGATTCTATATTTTTATTTTTTGGGGGTAGGGAGGGTTATTTTGAAACTTTTTGTTAATTTACTTTACTGAGGATTTAATTCTGACATCTCTATGAGAAATATTTCTGGAGGTATTTTTTTTTTTTTGAAATTTGAAGTTATTTAGCTCTTGTTCCCATTACTCTTTGTCAAAAGCAATCCTAGGTAATAAAATATATTAGGGGGCACAAATTGTGTCTCTTATATATCACAACACTATTCAAATAGTGATTTACAAACTTGTATGGTTAAACACTTTTACCAGTACTGCTAAGATAAGCCAGAAATTGAGAGTAAACGTTTAGAAACTTATATTTTTGAGGTTTTTTACCCCATCCAACTGGAGAAGTTTATTTAAGAGGGCATTGTGGAACTTGCAATGTTGAGCAGAAAGTGCAAATGTCTACCACTATTACCAGCAGATGTGGGCAATTTTTGGACAGTAAGCTCAGTGATTAAAAGATAATATTTAAAATAATTAAACTTCTTGAAACTAAAAAAAAAAAAAAATGACTAACCATAGCCAACTCTGTGAAAGATCTCAGGAAACAGCCAAAAGCTTTGGGTTAATTTGCCTAATATAACAAACACAAAAACCAGTTTTAGCCTTCAGTTTCTTTTTTTTTCTCCCTTGATGGCCTGTAGTTTTTTCTTTTCCATCCATTTGGCATTAAATGCTTTAAACTAATTTATCTAAGGGTGTGTCTAACTCAAACTTATATTTCTAGATATTTCTGATACATGCTGTTTTGTGGATAGTAGGCTTTTTAAAAAATGTATACTTTAAGTTTTGGGATACATGTGCAGAATGTGCAGGTTTGTTACATAGGTATACATGTGCCACAGTGGATGGCTGTACCCATCAACCCATCATCTGCATTAGGTATTTCTTTTAATGGTATGCCTCCCCTAATCCCCAGCCCCCGACAGGCCATGATGTGTGATGTTCCCCTCCCTGTGTCCATGTGTTCTCGTTGATGACTGGAGTGGAGCATGCAAGGAGAGTGAGATTGGAATTTCTGTCCTGTAGGCTCTCTCTTAGAGGGCAACCTCACATTGGCTGCATTTCTTGCTTAAAGGCCAAAGCTTTTTATTAAACACAATGCCTCAATAGCTATTCTGTCTTGATCTATCTTCCTCTTCAGTCCTAAGAGTGATAATAGTTTATTTCATTCTTGTCCGTCCCTGAGAACAGAACCATCTTGTTTTATATATCTTTGGAAAGAATACCTTGATTCAGATACCCTATTTGAGTATGCTCTGCATTTCCTGCCAAAACTTTGACTGATCTAATGATCAATTTTTGTTTTTTGCTATTTTAAAAACGAAAGGCAAAATACTGCAATGTAGATATGACTACTCTTTCATTACTTCATTTTGCAGACTAAAACTCCACTAGCCAGAAATAGGATGTTTTAATTTTGGTCATACACTCATAGAATATACTCAGATATGAATAAAAAGAAAAAGAATTTGGGTGTAAGACAAGCAGAGAAAGCACTGTCTAAATGACAAAAAGACAGGAGATGTGAAAAGGAATTTACGAGAATCTTTAAAGAACAGAAAACAGTAATATGATCACAAGTGATTATATAAAATTTCCTATATACTAGGCAATTTATATTCCTATATAAGCAATTTACATATATTGACTTATTTATTTCTCACAAGAACTCTATGAGGAAATACTCTTCTCATACAGGTGAGGAAACTGAGGCACAGAGAGCTTAGTCTGGTTGTATAGCCTATCCTCTTAGCTACCATGCCATGCTGCTCCTTCAATGGTTTTAAAGTGCTAAAGCATAATAAAGACTAGATATATGGATAGATACATTTATAATTGTAACTTTTATACTTATTTCCATAATTTCCTTACAGCTTACTTATATATTTAAATTCTTCCTTAATATAGAATGTTCTTAAGCCTAACTTTAGTTCTTGCTACTTTTCCAAAAATAATAAATTTGTATAACCTGTATTGTTTGATACTGAGTACATTTGTATGCTAACATACATTTAATATTCCTTTTAGAATTTGTGATCTGTGAATATGCCTGTTAATAAATCACCTATGATAAATACATATGGAGGCATATCTTCCCCTTATAATGAAGAACGCTGGAAATTAAATTGTCAACATTTAAGTGGAGGAAAGAGTCATAAATCAAGGTAAGCTAGAAAAAAAAGTATAGGACCCATATGTATTGTAGAGAATTTAGAAAATATAGAAAATTGTGAAAAATAAAAATTCACCCATAGTTTTCTAACCAAAGATTAAAATTTTAAAGTTAACTGAAGTTTTTTTAAATAGCCTTGCTTATTATGATTATATGCTTTCTAAAATTTTGAATTCTACGCTTTTTGTTTGAAATAATGATCTATACTCATGTTTACTTAATTTTCCATAAAAATGCATAAACTACATGAGAAAATATTTGATAACTCCTGTATCATGAAGAATTTTATTTATTTCTAAGACCTTTGCTATTTCAAATTTTACCAAAATAGAACGTTTTTCTATATTTCATATTGTTTCCTTGGGATAAAGTTTCTACAATGAGTGTAAGAGTAAGTTAAAAGAACTTTCACAAAGACTTTAAAGTCACAAATAATGTACTTTTTCTAGTTGTTTTCTGTGGTATCCTTGTCTCAATACCATAGTGACCTATATTATAAAAAAAGTGGCAGAAGAAGTTGTTATCCATCTACAGTCCTACAGAGAAGAAAATGAAATTCAATGCATTATTAAAACATTGAACAGTTTTGCTATTATTCACATAAACATATGGAATATGTTTAATAATATGCTGAAGAAATAAGTAAAACTGGTCAGTGCATCTAAATGGTCAAGGATGCTAGAAATAAAAAGCAACAAGACCTGAATATACAAATCATGACTAGATAATTCTGTTATTAATGGGATGAAGGTAAACAGAAGGAAAATAACTTGTATAAAAATATTCAGAGTAGTTTTAATTACATTTCAGAATTGAAAATAGCAAATGCTTTATAATAGAATGACTAATTCAATTAAATGTTTCTGAATAGTAGAATACAATAGAAATGTTTATAAGAAAAAAACAAACAGAAATTATGTAGACAGTGATTAAACTGATTATATCAAATGTGTATTATGGATACCACAATTCACAAAGAATGGAGTATAAGCTTTTATGTCATTTTCAGTCTACCAGATAGTTATAGATACAATGCTAAAAAGGAGGTTAGATGCTTCATTTAAACAAATTTCAAAAGCCTTGGATATAACAAAGTGCAATTGCTTTCTTTGCTCCAAAAATTCTCAGCTTTTTTTTTTTTGTTTCCTTATTTATTTATTTACTTTTTTTTAGAGACAAGGATACCCAGGTTGGAGTGGTGGTGTGATTGTAGCTTACTATAACCTTGAACTCCTGGGTTCAGGTGATCCTCCTGCCTCAGCCTTCTGAGTAGCTAGCACCCCAGGCATGTGCCATTATGCCTGGCTAATTAAAAAAAAATTGTGTGTGTGGAGATAGGGTCTTGCTTTTATGTCCAGGCTAATGCTGAATCCTGGCCTCAAGTGATTGGCCCTCCTCTTCCTCCCAAAGTGTTGGAATTACAGGCATGAGCCTCTGTGCCTGGCTCAGTTTTAAAATATGCTCATGTGTACTATGAATCTGCATTGCGGGGGCTGATACAGTTTGGCTCTATGTCCCCATTCAAGTATCATCTTGAATTGTAATCCCCACGTGTCAAATGAGGGACTTGGTAGGAGGCAATTGGATCATGGGGATGGATTTCCCCTTGCTGTTCTCATGATAGTGAGTGAGTTAGTTCTCATGAGGTCTGGTTGTTTTATAAGTGTCTGGTACTTCCCCCTTCTCAGACTCTCCTGCCACCATGTAAGAGGTGCCTTGCTTCTCCTTCCACCTCTGCCATGATTGTAAATTTCCTGAGGCCTCCCCAGCCAGGTAGAACTGAGTCAGTTAAACCTCTTTTGTTTATAAATTACCCGGTCTCAAGTGCTATCTTTATAGCAGTTTGAGAACAAACTAATACAGAGACAGAGCTGGCCTTGCCAGTACTACCTATATAGCTCTTTTCACCAGAATGAACTCATGGAACACATTTTAAGGAATATTAATTTCTGTTCAATGTCCCTAATTTTTATTAGGAAAAATGACTTACTAGATGAAAATGTGTTGTTACTAGATCAATATTTCTTGATAATTAAAACATTTTGTATGATTTTTAAATTTTTAAGAAATCGCTAAAAACTTAGAAAAGTATAGTTATATACACACATAGAATTTAAGATGTTGGCATATTGTTATGGGCTGAATGTGTGTGTCCCCCCAAAATTCATATGTTGAGGTCCCAACTTCAATGTGTATATGGCTACCACAATTCATAAAGAATAGTGTATAATCTTTTATGTTGTTCACAGCAAACCAGATAGTAACAGATATTATGCTAAGAAGAAATGGGTTAGGTTTTTCATTTAAACAAATTTGAAAAGCCCTGGAGTTAACAAAGTGAAATTGTAACCCCAAGTGATGGTAGTAGGAAGTATGGCCTTTGGGAGGTACTTGGGCATCGATGAGGTCATGGTAGAGCTCTCATGATGAGATTAGTGTCCTTACAAGAAGAGGAAGAGCTCCCAGCACTTATTCTCTCCTCTGTGCGAGGATGCAGCAAGAAGGCAGCTGTATGCAAGCCAAAAACATAGCCCTCACCAATACCAGTCCATGTTGGCACCCTGTCTTTGGATTTCCTAGCTTCTGGAACAAGGAGAAATAAAATGTTTAAGTCACCCAGTTTATACTGTTTTGTTATAGAAGCCTCAGTACCCTGCGACACATATTGTTATGTTTGTTTCAAATAATTTTCTTGTATAAAGAATTCTTCAAGAGATACAGTTTCAGCTGTTTAAACATATGTGCTTTTAACTATAGTAATTGTGGGGTATAACATTCCAATTCATTTTTCTACTCTAATATACATGAATATGAAGTTGTATTTTTCACATTTATTAATGTCATTCTACATAATACATTTATTTATGACTTGGCTTAAAAAAATCAATGCTATGTTTTAACTTTAATCCATATTGATAACTATGTATTTTCTTTATTCATTTTAATTGCTGAACATTCTAATATCATGTATTTTCTTTATTTACTTTATTGTTTTCCATATTTTCAACAATAAAATCAATGTCATAGTGAAAATCATTGCACATTTCTCCTTGGGTACCTGTGCAAGTATTTATTTTTTGTTTTGATATTTTTATTTTTAGAGATAGGGTCTGACTGTCTTCCAGGCTGAAGTGCAGTGATGTAATCCTAGCTCACTGCAGTCTTGAATTCCTGGTCTCAAGAGATCCTCCTGCTCCAGCCTCTGGAGTAGCTGGAGTCACAGGAACATGTCACCATACCTGGATAATTTTAAAAAAAATTTTGTAGAGATGAATTTTGCTTTGTTGCTGAGGCTGCTTTCAAACTCCTGACCTCAAATGGCTTTCCCACCTTGGCCTCTCTAAGTGCTGGGGTTATAGACATGAGCCGTTTTGCCAGGCCAATTATAATTTTTGATTTATTATTTTTCAAAATTTACTTGATGCTTTCTATGGGTCTCCAAAGTATCTCAATCTATATATGTATACACACACACACACACACACACACACACACCTTACCTTCACAAACACCTAACAGATCAATTTGGGTAGACTTAACATTTTTATCATAACCATATTATAATTTAGAAACATAGTATAACTCTCCATATATTTAGTTATTTATAAAATTTTCTCAATATGGTTTTAGTGTTTTTTCCATATGGGCATTGTCTTAGATTTCTTAATTTTTGCTAATATAATAGGTCAAAGGTGACACTTGTCTCAAAACTAATTTTTCAAGATCCCTAATAACTAAGAGGTTAAACATCTTTTTATGTTTGTTGCTATTAGAGTTACTTATATGTGTTGTCTTATTAACTTGTTGGTTTTACTAAATATTTGTTATAAATTCTCCCAAGGTGTGACTTATCCTTTAACTTTGTTTTTGTTATACCTTTAATTATATGGAAGTCTTAAAAATGGTACAGTTATTATGTTTTTAATATTCATTAAGGTTGTTGAGTTTAGCTATATTATTTTTACTGCTTATTTATTCATTTCACTGGTCTATTTTATTGACATATTGCAAATTATCCATTAATTCTGTTATTTTGGATATTTCGATTATTTTCAGTATATGGTTATTATGAACAATGTTTCATACATTCCTGTGTGGGTATCATGGCATACATCTTAATGTACAAACTTTCGAGTGGAATTGCTGGGTCAGAGCATGTGTATATAAAATTTAGTGACTAGAAATTCTTAATTTTTATAAAGTCAAATATGTTAATATTTTATGATTAGCCTTTTTTTTTGTATTTTGGTTTTAAAAAAACCTTTCCCAACCACCAGATCATGTAGTTGATCTTGTATATTATTTTCTAAAAACCTTACTTTCTCTTTTGTGTCTATAATTTATGTGGAAATTTTTGTGAATAATATTAAGCAGAAGTATTATTTTATTTTTAAAATGTGCATTCTCAATTCATAGTAACACATATGAAAAAAAATTATTGTATAACCAAGCATTCACATGTAATTGATATGCTTATCTTCTCTATATGCTGCTTCACTGGCCCATTTGTCTATTTCCACACCAACACCACACTGCCTTAATTACTATGGTTTAGTAATAACATTTAATAGTCAATATGATAGATTTTTCCAAACTTGTTTTTCTTCAGTGGTATCTTGCATATTAATTGTGAAACCAGCTTGTCATATTTTGTTTTCAAAAACTTGCAGGGAGTTTTTAATTGGATTTTTCAGAATCTATAAATCAATTTGGGGAGACAACATCTTTATCACAACCATATTCTAATTTACAAACTTGGTATATCCATTTATTTAGTTATTTATAAAATTTTCTCAAGATACTTTTAGTGCTTTTTCATATGGGTATTGTCCATCATTCTCATAGCAGTATTGTCAACAGAGGCATTGTTAGATTTTTTTCTATGTATTTACTATTTTTGATGCCATTTATAAATTATATGCATATATAGATTTCTAAAATTTGTATTTTCTAACTTTTACCAGAAGAAAGTAAATTTTTATTCATTGATTTTACATACACAAATATGACTAAATTTTCTTATTAATTCTGCATATCTTCATCTCAATCTTGTTTTAAAAGGAATATTCTAAGCATTTGACTGACAAGGGACTATGAACCAGAATATATAAAGAACTCAAACATTCTAATAACAAAATCACAAATAATCTAATTGAAATATTGGCAAAAGATCTGAATAGACATTTCTCAAAAAAAAAAGATATAAAATGGCCAGTAGATATATGAAAAATTCTCAACATCACTAATCATCAGAGAAATGTAAATTAAAACAACAATGATATATTATGTCACCCCAGCTAAACTGTCTTTTATTAGAGAGACAGTAATGGATGCTGGTGAGGATGTAGAGAAAGGGGAATACTCCTACTGTATTGGTGGGAATGTAACTTAGCATAGCCATTATGGAAGACAGTATGGAGGTTCCTCAGAAAACCAAAAATGGAATTGTCATTTGATCCCATAGTCTCACTGTCGGATATGTGTCCAAAAGAAGGGAAATCAGCATATTAAAGAAATGTCTGGGCCAGAGGTGGTGCCTTGCTGGGCACCTATTATCCCAACACTTTGGGAGGTCAAGGTGGGTAGATTTCTTGGCCCAGAAGTTTGAGACCAGCCTGGGTAACATGGCAAAATCTGCCTCTACAAAAAATACAAAAATTATCCAGTCATGGTGGTGTGCATCTGTAGTCCCAGCTACCTGAAAAGCTGAGATTGGAGGCTTTAACCCTGGAGGCAGAGGTTGCAGTGAGTAAAGATTGCACCACTGCATTCCAGCCTGGGCCGCAGAGCAAGACCATGCCTCAAAAAAAGAAACAATAAAAGAGGTATCTGTTCTCTCTATTCATTGTAACATTATACACAATAGCTAAGATATAGAATCAATCTAAGTTTCCATGCATGATAAATGGATAAAGAAAATGTGATATATATGCCCAATGGAATGTTATTAAACCATAAAAGAATAAAATCCTGTCACTTGCAACAGCATAGGTAGAACTAGAAGACATTATGTTAAGTAAAATAATTCAGGCACAGGAAACAAATACCACTGTTGTCACTCATATGTGGATACTAAAATAAATTGATCTCATAAAGGTAAAGAGTAGAATGATGGTTTCCAGAAATTGGGAAGGGTAAAGGGTTGGGGAAGAAGAGAGGTTGGTTAATGGGGACAACATACAGTTAGACAGAAGGAATAAGAGCTAGTGTTTAAGAGCACAATAAGGTGACATACTTAACAAAAATTTATTGTCTATTTCAAAATTACTAAAAGAGTGGTATTGCAATCTTCCTAACACAAATAAATGATAAATGCTTGAGATGATGGATATTTCAATTACCCTGGCTTGATAATTAAATATTGTATGCTTGTATCAAAATATCACAAGTATCCCATAAATATGTACAACTATGTTTCCACAATCATTAAAAATAAAAAAGAATAAAGCAAAAAGGAAATCTAAGCATGCTTGTTTTTGAAAAAGTATAACTTTTTTTGTCAAACTTTATCTGGTATTCTACCTTGTGTGTTTTTTAATTTACCTCCACTAGACTTTATTACCATTTTAAATAGTCAGTGTTTCTTTTTATTTCATTTCCTGTTTACCACTGTCGTTGCTTTTTAGCTCTTCTTTCTTCTTAGGCCTTATTTCTGGACTTGTTTCTCATTTGCCTGCTGTAAGATTTTTTTAAATTTTCCTTACAAGATTTTTGTTGTTGACAACAAACAAATTTTGTTGTTTTTGTCAACAACAAAAATCTCAGGTTTTGTTTGTCTGACTATATCTTTTTATCTTATTATTGAAAAGTGTTTAAACCTAAACATAAAAATATCTATGCCGAATTCTTACTTTTATTCTTTTTTCCTCTAGAACATCGTTGGTATCACTTCACTGTCTTACAATTTCCATTATTGCTGTTGAAAAGTTAGCTGAAATTTTAATGTCATTTCTTTAAGATTATTTTGGCTTCCTTCCCCCAGACCTGGCAATTTTAAGTATCTTATTGTCTTCTGTTTTCTTAAGTTTCACTATGATGTGTCAGAATATAATTTTAAAACTTGTCTTACTTATATTTGATGGAACTTTTTGAATCTGTGAATATATGTTTCTTTCATCATTCCTGAAAAATTATTGGGTATTATTTATACAGATACTGCCTTGACAACCCGTTTTTTTCTTTCTCTTTTTCTCAGACTGTTGATTAAATGTGTATGAGATCATCTCATTAAGTCTGTTACATCTTTTACTTTCTTCCCCATTTTCCAATTTTTTTCTCTTCCTACTGCATTTTGAAAATTTTTTTCAAATCTGTGATTTGTCTTTCATGTGACTAATTTTCCCATTCTGAAATCTATCCATTGAATTACAAAATTGTATCTAAGATTTAGTAATTTATTTAGTTTTCTTCAAATCTGTTCTGTAAACTTAACATTTCTGGTTCCCTGAAGATCTTTTTAAGCATGTGGTGGGATGAGCATGATAATTTTATAATTTGTGTCTGATTATTTAAGTGACTGGAGTCTTAGTAGGTTTGTTGTTTCTGCTTGTTCTCATTTCTCCCATATTTTTCCTTGTATCTTGTCATTACTCACTTTTTCTTGGTTGGAAAATATTTCTGTATGTTTTTTGAAAGCTAGGAGAAATGCATCCTCCTCCAGAGAATCTTTGCATTCTCTTCTCTGCCAGGCACCTGTAAATCTACCAGTGTGGGACAACTGAAACTTAATTAACTGCCTGAGTTTTCTTGGCCAACAATCAGTTTGTCTAGAGTGTAAATCTGGGTTGGGACCGATATTCTCAGCAACAGTTCTTTTTTCCTTTCTATTCTCATTCTTTTTCTACTAGACACCAAGGTAGCCTTCTACGTTGCTTCCTGAAGTTAGGAAGAGGGGATCTTGCAAGACACTATATACTTTGTACAGATAATCCTATAGGAAACTGCACTACAATTATTATTATTATTAATTTATCCACTGACACCTACTTTGGTCACTCAGACTTGACTACTTTCCCTAACACTTGTATCTCTACTTGAACTAGCTGATTTACAGCGTTCTCTGGCAAAAAATGTATATTGTGGGAAGAAAATAAGCATGTGTGTGGTTCTATTTCATTTTCTTGTTTGAGGTATTGTTGCCCTTATGTTTCCGGTGAGCTCTTCCCTAAGAAGAGATGTTCTTACTTTCATCAGACCTTTCTTTGTGGCTTCAGTGAAATATTAACCTATTGTCAAAAAGAAATTCATATGCGTGGTTGTAAGATGAATCTATTAGACTCATTTGCTTTTACTTTCATTGGCTAATGTGAGAAAGACAAAGATAAACTTTGAAGCCAAAGAATGAAGGCAGTTTGTCCATCTTCAGTAGTTAAATACATCAATTTTGGTACTGTTGCCTATTAATTAGTAGTTAATTAATACTACTAATTAACCCTCTTGAGATTAATAATTACATTTCACAAGAAAGGACATTATGCTTTAGAAGTTAAGTTGTTTCTTTTTTTTTTTGGTTCAACTCAAATGAGTTTATTTATTAGGAACTTTTTAAACACCGAGTTGAACAGAGGATGGGAACTAGACAGATCATTTCAGCATAGATGGTTACTTTCCCTCTTGCCACAGGCTTTGCAGGAAATGTCAGTTATTGTTTTCTTTCTCCGCTATGGTCAATCCTTTCCAAGGCAGTCAGAGAGCTCTCTCCCTTCCCATTGAGAGAGGATCTTCTCCGGTAGCCCTTGTACTGGGAAGCGGCTTTAGTATTTGCAAATGTAGACGCACAGAAGCTCTTCCTCCTCTTACCAGGTTCATCAGAAAACCAGCAGCAGGGCCCTGGCTGTTTTCTTGATCTGAGATGGGAGGTGCCATCCTGGTTTGTCTGGAGGACAGTTTCTTTTCTGGGAGACATACTACCAAAATCACTGCTGTTCTTTTGGCTTTGTGGGAAGTGGAAGGAAGTGGAAGTGAAATCCACAAAGCCCTTCATTTTCCAAATCCTTCTGTAGCCTCATGCTACGTCACACTGTGGTTTCACTATTCCTCCTCTGAAAGATTTGTTCAATGGTGTCAGACAAATATTTACATAGTTCAGAATTTTCTAAACTAATGTCTAAAGAGCTGCTTACACTGTAGGAGGGTGTGTGATTTCCATTTTTTCCAAATGTAAACTTTGACCATCAGAATAATACATGGAGCGTCTTCTATGTTTCCTGTCTCTGCTACTCATAACGCTGCTACTTTCCATGGGTATTCTTCCGCTTTTAGATTCTTTCATGTTTTCAATTAAGACATCTCCTAAACAATGACAGTCTTTTTGTGAGTTAGGCATTAAATGACTGCATTGCAGTTTTCCTTCTGCAGCTACTAAGAAGTCATCTTGTCTTTCACACTTTATGTTTAGATCTAGTGAAATTTTAAAGATTTGACAAAGGTTTTCTGCATTTTGAACAGCAGCAGCAAACTCTTGACCCTGCTGCAGGATCAGAGCAGGTTTGGGACTCTCTAATGCCACGTGTTCTGTTACAGAAGCACAAGAAATAGGACCCTCAGTTCCAGCTTTGGGTTCATTTTCACTTTCTGACATATTTTTTGCTTTTGGAATATTTTTATTGTCATCAATGTTCATCATATTTGTATTTAGATCTTCATCAGAAGTAGCATTACCAAGCAATTAGAAACTTTTTATGTATGAGGAGAATTCAGACACATTATATTTACCAAAGCCTTGATGCATATGCAAATCTGGGTCCTGAGGGAAAAGATCCTTTTTTTCCACTGGATTTTTAGGAGCCTTCACTTATTCCAGTTTGCCATTTGATTTGAAATATCCTGAACCCAGTCTTTGGACACTTGGAACTGAAGGTATCATCTCAGAGACTTCAGGCAGCTTAGGAATAGGACTGAAGAGGGACTTCTTAGAAGCAAAGGCTCTTCCCCGATATAAAAAACTTCTGAACACTTTTCTTTCCCTTTCCTTTCTTCTTTCTGCAACTTTTTAAAACCTGATTCTTAGGAAGTGCTCTCTTTGTACACTTTGTTTCTTGAGACTTCCTCCTATTAATTATTTTTTCTTTACAAGGCTGAGCTTCTGTATTTAGTAAGTTGCAAACACTCTCTTCTACAAAACTGACCAACTGATTTCTTCTGTTAGACGATATTTTCTCATGGTTATTTGAAGAACTAAAGGTGTCAGTGCCTCAACGAGTCTCAGAGATTGATGCCTTATTAGAACTCAGAACAGCAGATGATACTTGAAGTGGTTCTATGTTTTCAAGACTCTCTCCTTTGTTGTCAAAATCTGACTGAGGTAATGGCTCAGGAACTGGTGACTGCTCAAGCAGCGGGGAACTGAGACCACTGAAGTCCTTTTTACAAAGAGTTTCCTCCTTTACACAATGGAGTATTTGCTGGCAAAGATTCATCAAACACTTCTGGGCTTAACTTCTCTCCAAAAGTAACTCTCTTCCTCTTCCTCATATTTAGGAAGGCCGGTGCTTCCAACTTTTCTTCATCTTCCACTTCTCTATCTTTGCAGCAGTTTGTGAGATTTGAGATTATGCTTGGGTGAGTCCCATCATCATCATCACAGAGGTTGTTACAGTGTTCCTATAAGCTCTCTAGACACATCTTGACAGAGGGTTTCTTCAGAACAGAGAGAAGTACAAAGGTCTCAGGGGAGGGAAGGTCCTTCCTGCACACTGGAGTAGCTGGTGCCTTGACATCAGGGACTGTGTCTGAGCTCACTTCTGCTGTGAACGTGTCAGGTGAAATGGCATCGCTTGATCCTTATGCAGTCAGCAATCTTGAGTGCATTTGAAGTCTCTGTGAGCTCTGAAAGGGGAAAACTTTTCAACTAAAAATCCAGACTGTGTTGAACCAGGTTTAGATGATTTCTCAGAAAGATCTGCAGAAGTTTCAACTGCACATCTTCTGTCTGTATCATCATTGAATATCTGGAGATCAGTTGCTTTTCCTTCAGCATCCATTAGATTTTCATCAAAGTCCCTCTGATAGGATATTCTCTGACATTTGGAGGACAACACTGCAGGGAACTCAGACTGCTGGCATGCACTAAGATCTGCCTTTCTGGTCAAGTCTGTCACCTCGGACACCCTTCCTGCCTGTGAGAATTCTGGACGGCCAGTCATTTTCTCGTTTTCCCTTATGAAGTGAAAAGCTGACTGGAAGGTGGATATTCGTTCTCTTAAAGTGTTAAAATTTCGATACAGTGCAGGGCTGCCCTGGGAAGGAGAATCTTGTGCCAAAGGAGATTTCCTACCATTATTTATATTTTGCTGCTGAGCAATGAAACGAATTAGATGGTTTGTTTCAGGAGAGCCCCGCACCCCAACTGCAGAACGTCTTCTGAATTCTTTAAGGTATGATGATGACTTTCCTGTAGAATTCCTAACAAAGCTTTCGGGTGTAATTCCCAATTACTCTATGGTTACTGTGGAAAAGTTCAAAGGCGATTTAAAAGTATCTGGTATGCAAGGATTAGGAGGTAATTTGGCATGCTTCTGAGGAATTAGTCTTCCCAGTTCCCAAAATGAAAGAGGTGTTTCCAGCATTATTCATTGCAGACTCCTTGGTTCCAGGGGGCTTGTCTTTTGAATTGGCATCCATCTGGAGTCAGAAGTTTCATCGTTTCTAAGTGGGCTTCTTACAAACAACCTTGAAAAGATCATGACTGTTGGCCGGGCATGGTGGCTTATGCCTGTAATCCCAGCACTTTGGGAGGCTGAAGCTAGCAGATCACCAGAGGTCGGCAGTTTGATACCCGCCTGACCAACATGGAGAAACTCTGTCTCTACTAAAAATACAAAATTAGCCGAGCATGGTGGCTACATTCCTGTAATCCCAGCTACTCAGGAGGCTGAGGCAGGAGAATCGCTTCAACCCAGGAGACAGAGGTTGCAGTAAGCCGAGATTGTGCCATTGTACTCCACCCTGGGCAACAATAATGAAACTCTATTTGGAAAAAAAAAATAATGACTGTTACCAAATGCAGAATAGAATGTTTTCAAGTATAAGAGTAATCATTTAGAAAAAGAAGTAGGCTTTTATTCTTGAAAATATTTTCAGCCTTCAATTTTTTTCTAAATGGCTCTCTCCTCAAAATTCAGTGGGTGTCAACAGTCTTCTCTCTATTCTCTTTAGGGTTTTCTTTACTGGTATCCACTAAGAAGGAGGGCTTGCATTTCCAAAGCTTAACACAGTATTCCATTTGCTAAGATTGAAACAAAGGTAAAAGCTAAAGAAATACAAAGACAATAAAATAACATATCAAACCCTAGATATTTTTTGAAATGAAATGAGGATTGTATTTCTGGTTTCATACCATAAAACCTTTGTATATCTGTAATGTGATGATGCTGCAATCAATCACATGGGTATCAGGATGACAGGATATTTCCAGTGTCTGACTTCAAAAGCTCAGACCCCAAATTAGTGAGTCAGAAATGACAAATTCAGGGGCGTTATTCATAGAATAAATTTCTGCAGATGTTCATATAACCTACTCTTTATTTATGCCCTTCTGATTAATAAATCTGTCCCTGAATTCCTCAAACATTCAAATGTAATATACACACCAAAAGGAGCCAGACCTTCCTTTCATTCTGCTGGTACTTCTGGTCTTTAGAAGAAGCCATATTAATTGTTATTTGAAATTTCTGTATTAATTTCATTTTTTTTACCTCTCATAGTACCAAATGTATCAAAAGAGTAGTCAAAATTTAATATTTTCATTTCTTTTTTTTAAAGCCGGTACTGATTGGCACCCTAAAATCTGGATTCTGTTTTTCTCTAGTGAAACTGCTGTCTTAAAGATCTTCACCGCTTTAAACATTTATTATTTCTTTGTGGTGATAACATTCAAAATCTTTTCTTCTGGTTGTCTTAAAATATTCAATACATTGTTATTTACTGTAGTCACTCTACTCTGTAATAGAACACTAAAACATATTCTTCCTAACTGTAAGTTTGTTAAGTTACCTCTCCTGGTTCCCCCAACTCTCCACCGTCCCCAGACTCTGGTAACAGCAATTCTACTCTCTAATTCTATGAAATAAACTTTTTAATATTCCACATATGAATGAGATCATGTGGTGTTTATCTTTCTGTGCTTTAACATAGTGTTATTCAGGTTCAGGTTCATCTATGTTATTGTAAATAACAGGATTTCATTCTGTTTTATGGCTTTATAGTATTCTAGTACACACACTCACATACACACAGTTATCTATCCATTCATCATTAGATGGGCATATAGGTTGATTCTATGTCTTGGCTACCGTGAATACTGCTGCAATAAACATGGGTATATAGATGTCTCTTCCACATACCGATTTTATTTTCTTTGGATATATACCTAGTAACGGGATTGCTAGATTATATGGCGATTCTATTTTTAGTTTTTGAGAAACCTCCATAGTGGCGGTCATTATGGCTGTACTAACTTACATTCCCACCAACAATGTATGAGTTCTTTTTTCTCCTCACCATTTGTTACTTTCGATAATAGCCATCCTAGCTGGGATGAGATGGCTTTCAATGTTACCACAAAGAAAAGATAAATACTGAAAGTGATAGATGTGGCAATTACCCCAATTTTATCATTAAGCTATGTACACATGCGTTGAAACATCACATTTTATCCAATTATTAGGTGTCGATTATAAATAAAAAATTTTAAAAAGTCACTGAATTTTAAAATATTAACTCTCATGATCTTCTTTTTGTATTTAGTCTTGATATTTCTGTGGATGTACATTTTCCATTATTGTCTTTATCTTTAATGTATTCTATGATATCTCAGTCTAGGATGCCAGTTTGTGTGAAACAGACACGCATTCAAACTAACTCAAGCAAAAAAAATTAACATAGGGATATAAGGCTGGGTATGGAACTTGAGAGCAGAAGATATAGCTAGGCCATTTTCTTTCATTCAGTACTCTTAACATATGTGGAGATAAATGGCCAGCTTGGCAGATACAATCTACATTTATGCTATAATAAACTTGAAAAGGACAACTCTAAACTTACATCACTAAATCCTTCAGCAAACCTTGACTGGGGGCTACAGTGGTGAACATGCAGCTTTCTGAAATTGGAGGTGCTTTGTTATTTGTTGTCTTGAAAAAGCTGTCAGCAAAAGCCACAGGTTCTGATACTACATGACCTTTCAGTTCTAACCTCAACCATTTAAAGTATTGTTTTATTTAAAATCCTTAGAAAGTACTGAATTTGTCTAGCTGCCATCAGATGTCTACTGTGACAAAATCAGCAATGGCCAGGGGGCATGAGGTTATATGGCACTTATATAGAACTTAGGCCCCAATGCAGCAGGGACTTTCAATAATGAACAATTTTCAGAGAAGGAATTTGCACCCCATGTTATATATACATCTGAGTTCTTTCCTGAATCTCCTGTCATATTTACGGTTTCTTCTTTCCCTGTTGCCTCCTAACTCTGGGATTTATCAAACAAGAACTTTCCTTTGATTATTTTGTTTTTCCTTAATACTCTTCCTCTTAAAATCTTAAGGCTTTGATTATCACTGATGTAGGTGAATATGAAATCTTTATTTCCAGATCTTATCCAGTTCCTAATGCTTGACTCACAAGTCCTTTTGGATTATAAACTTTTCCACTTGGATGTCTCATAGGTAAATCATCCTCACTATGTCCTGAATGGCACAGATCACCTGCTCAGATTCCTTTCATCCAGTTCTCTTGATGTCATCTTCCTGCTTCCAGTCATGTGGGCCAAAAACATTGAGCTTATCTGTATGTTTGGCATCATTATTTTGCATATCCCATTATTTATCAAGCCCTATTGATTCAGCTAGACCAATTTTAACTTGATTTAGCTTGACCTCCACCTAATCTCGAATTCTGGGTGATCATGTGCCCAGGAAAAAGCAGAGAAAGAACTCTGAAAGGACAACTGCTATTCTGTCCTTTCCAGTTCATGCTTGTGCTTCAAGGCTCACATGATATTTCCACAAAGAAGCTTTTTCTGAATCTAACCAAAAAGAGTAATGCTTACAACTAACAGTTTTCCAGCACCGAATATATGCCAGGAACTGGGCTGTGTGGCTTGATTTGATGCCTTCCAAAATTCTGCAAGATCTTTTCCTTATTTCTACAGATGGAAAATTATAACTCCCACAGATTAAGTGATTCAGCAAAGATTACAGGACTTGGACGAGCTGGAATCATGATCTCTACTTTTAAACTCCCACAGAATTTTCTTTCTTTTTTAAAGAACATCTCCTTATGTTGTATCACTGTGAGGTATATCACTGTGAGGTGTCTCACTTCCCTCCCAGAATGGGAACTTCCTGAGGCCAGGGCTGATTTCTCTTCTAGCAGTCATGGTATCTAGCAAAATATTTTGTATGTAGGTGGCTTTCATTAAATATTCATTGAACAAGTGACTTGTCAGCTAAAAAAGTTGTGAATTCACAGGTAATGTAAATACAGTCAGTTTGGATGGAGTGTCTATTTAACCAGGAGACTTCAGTATAAATATTTTATAAATAAAATTAGAATGATGATCTTTATTTACTGCCTGTTCCACAGGACTGTGCTTACATATTCTTAGTGAAATCCTTTGGTATTTCAGAGAAATTGGAATGTGTGAAGCTGAAGTCTTTTTTTTTAATGCATGTATTTATTTTTTAGATTTCTCTTTTACTTCTTACCATGTGTTATATATGTCAGTAAATAAGTGTTATTGTTTTTGCAATAATGTCTATTGTGATGGGCAGGAATTGGTTAAAATAGCTATATTTATTTCTTACTAAATATTTATTAACAAGATCTGTAGAAGACCAATTAAAGGACTCAGGATCTATATAGAAAGTCAAACATAATTAGCTTTCTATGTTTTCAATGATGTGCTACAAGGCATAATCCATATTGAAAATGTTTGACAAAACTAAAATTATTATACAATGTAGTTTGAGCACAGAAATTGAATTAGATATTATTTTCATCCTAAGCCTTTACTTTAGAAATAAAGTAGTATAACTATATTTTCCCTAAAGCCTATGAAAAAGCTGAGATAAACTATCTAATTTCAGAAAATATAATTTTAATTTGTATTTGAAACCTTGGATACTGTGTGTGTGTGTGTGTGTGCGCGCGCACACGCTTGTGTGTATTTGGGGGTTGTCTGTGGTTGGTCATGGGGAAATCTAATTGAATCAAATTTACTATTACTTTAAAAGAAGGATGAATTGCACACTATTATACTATAAATCATTCTTAGGGATCTTAGAAAAATGGCTAAATGCAAAGACTTTGAGTCAGACAGTTTATTTCAAATTTGGCTCAGTTTACTTTTAAGATATACCCTTGGTGTGATACTTAACCTCTTTCAGCCTCCTATTTCTTCTTGTAAAACAAAGAAAGTATATTTTATACATTTCAAGCAATATATATGAAGCAAACACCAGATGTTAATAAAGCAAATTGTATATACAACAGTAAAAAGAAACTTAAGCAACTAATGTTACATCAAGGAATATAAGGCAGATACATTCATATTAAATTATGGTACAGATTTTTATAGGATTTAGAGTTAGACTTGAGATAAGTTTCTGGCCCCTTGTAATTATGTGATCTGAAGCATAGTTTCTTCAAGTCCACTGACTCCACCACCTGCCCCTACCTGGGCAACCAAGTCAGCATGCTCTAATTCTTGTCATTCTGTCACACA